CACCCAACCTTTATGTTTCCCACAGTGCCCCCACCCTAGCATCGTTCTGGGGCACTGTGACAGGCTGGCACATGTGGAGCTTGTTGACACCCAGGGCAGGAGTCTTGATCTTGGCATGGCAGTGTAAGTCCGGCAGGCCCCTGGCGGGGTCCCTTGGCTGGCTTAGACCTCTGAGGACTGGAGCATGTCTACCAGGCTGCCCTCCCTCTGCATCAGCCTGGTGTGAGGGCACATTGACAGAGGAGAAGCTCCTTCAGAGGCTGCTTTGCCCAGGGTGTCCTCAGTCTGGCTTCTCTGCCATTCACTCCCGAAACAGGCTATGAAGGCGTTACCCTCTCACCTTGATCTCCTGTTCTCAGAATCAGGTATACTAAGAGTGATATGCTGCTTCTGAACATGAAGGCTTTGCTTAACAAAGTGAAAAGTCATTGAGGTTCAATCACTTCTGTGTCCAACACTCTGGATAGATCCAGTTCCTTACCTCTCCCTTCAGTCGCCATTTTGGGTTTGGTTCTCTCTTTTGAGCCACCATTTTGTGCTAGACTCCAACTGGTGGATCTTGTTACATCCCCAATCTAGGCAAGTAGACTACCTGGTGATTGCATACATAGCATGCCATGGTTAAGTCATCATATATGGCCACATGGACACTTATATTCACCCACATCTACAGAAACCTAACTGAAGGCAAGTACTTGGCCATTCTGATAGCTTACCACAATACTGTTGTGTACTTTGAGTGCTTGAAACTGCCTTGCACATGTGGTGGAAATGGGACAGAGTCTCCCTATTTTGGGATTCCATCTTTACATAAATCCACGAAATTACTGGCAAATGCCTACAAAGACAAGGGAGCTAACCCTGTTCAACTAATTTCAAGGTGAAAACTTGAATGTTCACTTTAATCACTAACTGAATATTTACTGGCAGGAACCAGGTTGGTGATTGCCAGATTTTGGAAGAGATTGGAATCAGCAAATGTTATGACATGGTTCTAAAAGGTATGGCAGATTGCTCTAAATGAAAAACTTGCAAATAAGCTAAAAATAGCAATAGGGAAAAAAGAAAGAAGCTATAAACAAATTTGTAGTGGAATGGCACTGTTTTATTACACATATAGAAAAGACAGACAACGGGGGTCTTCTTATAAAACCCTTTGACTCTCTTGTTATCTGATATTGCGCTATTTCCCTTTTTTTGTGTTGTACAATCTGTATTCTCTCATCTCTTTAATGTGCTACATGGTATGTCTATATTCTGTACTGCATCTAAGTTACCGGGGGGGGGGGGGCGGTTGTTCAATCAATCAGTCAGTCGACATCAGTGACTGTCAGAATGGATGGTGATGGTTGTATTTATTTTGCTTTTCTAAGCCCAGATGACAATGACGCCCTGTGATTTTTTAAAAATATGTTCTGAACTGCATGAAGGCATGGAAATGTGTGAGAGTGAGAGAGTGAAAGAGAGAGATATCTATCAGGATGTAATGCTTTCTATGCAGGGATGCTGTGTTTACCAGGTGCAGTGATTATCAGACGCAGATAAGCATTCAAAGGGCAAGACAGGAAGTGCTTATTAGCCAATGATATGTATTTTCATAAAGTGCCATTCTCTCCCCGTTGACTGGTAAATTGGATTCCCTCCTGCGTTGGGATTACCTTATGCCTTTAATGACCATGTCGGGGGATTATTCTATATTGCGTGTATACTTCATCCTTTTCCAGAAAGTCTCACTGAGACTGCAGAACAGAATTATCTATTTTCTTGTGTTCCTTTTGCCCAGAGAGCCCATCAGAAAGGGAGCAACGGGGGGTTAGGCTTAAAAAGGAACTGCACAAGGTCTCAGCAGGAGAAACCACCACCAGCAGATGATTCCTTCAGACCCAAGATCTTGGCCAACAGGGTCTGTCAATTACCTTTTGTTCTGATATAACTCCCGTCCTTACCCAGAGCAACAGATGTATTGAGCTTTTGGATGGTACTGTAAGCTGAAGGTGAAGCCAACCCATTGGCTCATTGACTTTGGCCTTCCTAAATACTCCCAGGGCCATTCTGAGAGCAGTAAAATACTGAAGACACCAGGCACCAATCCATAGGCACTAGCAAGCTAGAAAGGTGCTCTCTGTTACCTGCTTGAATGCCAAGGCACTCATGAGTAGCAAATATCTCCTGCAGAAGAATGTAATGTCTCAGAGCACTGATATCTGATGAATTTCCCTAATGGAGAGGGCTCCCACCTTTTCAAATCTTGGAGTCCACCTTTACACCCAACCTGCAACATGGAGTCATTGTGTCCACAGTGTGGCCCACTGTAGGAAAGGATGCAACTTGGCAGCAGAAAACCCATGTTCCAATGAAATGGGCAACACTTCTAAGCACAAGCAACTTCACTAGCTAACATAAGGTCTTGACTGTGGCTGAGTATATGCCCTATATAAAGAGCACATTTAAACCACATGGCTTCTCCCAAGAATCCTGGCAACTGTAGCTTGTTAAAGATGCTGGACTTTGTAGCTATGAGAGGGGCAAACTACAGTTCCCAAGATTCTTTTTTGGGAAACCATGCACTATAAATGCACTTTAAATGTGTGGCATGTGCACAGTTCAAGTACATTCTGTTGCTGAGCCCAAGGCTGCTTTCACACAGCAGTTTATTCCATTTCTCTAACTGTCAATTTCTGTATTATATTTGCACTTCCAAATGACATAAAAGCCACGTCTGGAAATCTAGTGGAAGCTTAGCCTTCATTTCCGTGTTAATTGGTTCCAGAAATTATCCATTTGCAACCCTGTTAACCCAGAAAATCACAGGAGTAAACTGATGAAATTGGAGGCGGTATGCAGTTCTTTCCTGCTCATGGGGGAATCATGGGGAAACAGAAGCAGGCATGTGCAGAAAGGGTGGGGACTTGTCAATATCCTTCTTGAACTATGGTGCCCAGAACTGGACACAGTATTCCAGGTGGGGTTTGACCAAGGCAGAATAGAGTGGTACTATTACTTAACCCGTACCATGCTGCCTCCAGTTCTGCTAAAGCTGCCAGCGCTGTGGCCCTCTGCCCAGTTGAGGCAGATTTGCAATCTGGAGCAGATCTTGAGATCAGATCCAAAGTGGAATGGAAGCTTTATGCCTTGTTGCTCCCTCCCCAAACACATCCTGTCACTGAAGTTCAGCTGAAATGGGGGCATCAAGATGTAGTGACTGAGGATGGAAAGGTGCCAGGCCAGCTGATTGGGTGGAGATAAAAAGCAATTAGTCAGATGAAGAAGGTTAATAACCGCAATCTTGTAAAACTCCTCCGGGGGCTCTAATACTATTTATTGAGTGACTAATGAGTCTCCCCTTCCACAATTAGTTTGCACAGCTATAATTTAGGCATTTTTCCTAATCCATCTGAATTTATGTCCCAGAAAGAAGTGGTGCCCTTTGCAACAGCAGCCAACTTGTTAACACCCGAATATTTTAATAAAAGGACACCCACAACCCTACTTCTAATGAGATTTCAGCACAGTTGTCCATCAGAGCTGCTGGTTGCCCTGTTTTCAAATGGTGTTCCACTGAGCTCTAAGGTTGCATGGAAGGTTGCCTAAGGCACATCAGTGAGATCAATAGACATCTTCAGATGAAGGGCAGTATATAACTTTAATAAATGATGATAATAATGGCAGACAAGCCTCCCTACAGACCAGCCTGCCTATTTCTAGTGCACCTCCTTTCTTGAGGAAGAGCTACAGTAAGGCCCAACACAAAACAACAACATCAACACTGGCCAATACCCCAAATAAACAGAACTATGGTTCAGAATTATCTGTGACATGCAGGGGGGTCCTGTTGCAGGAACTCAGAGGCTTCCTCATTGGAAACATCAGTATGGAAGAAGCGCTATGCTGCTACAAAGTGTGGAGCCCCTTCCACATCCTATAGAAACATACCCGTTGCTCTACAGATAAGAGAGAGAGAGTGTGTGTATGGGGGGAGTAGACTATGACCCCCAACACCCACAAATCTACCTTGCCCTTTCTCCAAGAGAAAAGCACTCATCGCGTCAACCGACTTTTCTGGGAAAAGGTATCAAACTGTGGAGGCCACCAGTTATTAGGAGGGGGAAAATAATGTTTTACAAGAAAAGCTCTATTTCTTAGTCCTTTCCCCCCCTCCTTCCCCTTTTCCCCCTTCTTAAAGTATAAAATAGAGCCCTGGGGATCGTGCGGGGATGTGAGTCAGGCTAAATAAATAAATAACTCAGTGTGATTTATTGAAAGCCTTACACTGAATACTTGTTCTCTGTAAGAGAGGAAAGAACTGCACTTGTAACAAACTTCAAGCGTGTTTGACATGACAACAAAGGCAACGTTCAGCAACTAAACTGGAGGAAATGATTGCAAGAGTATTATGGTGCTGTCCCCCCTGCACCAGACCCATCTGGCTGGTGCCCTGTTGTTTAGTTGTACTGCTGTCCATGCTTTTAATTTTTACAGTTAAGAATTAAAAAAAATTTTTTTTTTAAAAGCTTCTCTGTTGATTATGGTAGGATGTGCATAAAAGGAGCTTGAGGGAATATCACCATCCACCTTCCTTTGTGGCCTCTCCTTCCCCTCAGCTGCCATCACAAGGGCGTCTGTTCGGCCATCTTGCCCTGAGGGAAGGGGAGGGGAAGCAGCAACAGCAACAGCTTTTTCTAAACAAACAAGTTGCCATATCCATTCTATTGCAAACTTTATACAATATAAAAAAGGTAGTGCTTATTGTAATAATTATTATTGCAATAATTTTATGTAACTTGCTTTGTGAGGTCTGCCTGTATATAAATACAGGGTCTCTCTCTCTCTCTCTCTCTCTCTCTCTCTCTCCACATAATATCCCTGTTCAGGTGATCTCACCCAGTGTTGCTGAACACAATGTCGGGAGCAGAGATAACTACACCATAGAATCATAGAATTGTAGACTTGGAAGAGAACACGAGGGTCATCTAGTCCAACTTCTGAATGCAGGAATCTCTCAACCAACAAGGGTCTCAAACCCACAACCCTGAGATTAAGAGTCTCATGCTCTACCGACTGAGCTATCCCACTCCACCAGCCTTTCTCAAAACATCACAACTGTCTGCATTGCTGGAGCTTTTGCGTGCATAACTGTGTCAAGGCCTTGTTGATCTGGGACTACAACTGTACACACACACACACACACACACACACACACACACACTCATTTTTATATTACAAACCAACAAAAACAGTATTAGAACAATGCTGGACTAGATGGGCCACTGGCTCTTCCTAATTTCTGAAGTGATCTTCAGATGATTTACTAGGGTGTAGGTCCTGTTGAACTCAGTGGGATTTCCTCCCCTGCAAAGATGCCTAGGGTGTTGTGGCATGTTTCATAAACCCATGTTTCACTGGGTTTCATAATGGACATATGGCTACTCTCTTGAAGCTTCATTTGGAAGTTGGAGTGTGTCCAGTGCTTGCATGAGAGTTTGTAGGATATGAACAAGCTCAACAATTTCCCCTTACAGCTGGAACAGCTGCAGACTGATCATTCATCCCAATCACATCCATCTTTCCAACTGAGCACCCTACATTTTCTATGCCATCTACGTACATGCATACAACAGGGCATTCATACAATTTGTTCCTTCTCTCCTGGCGTAGGTTGATAAAGCTTCAGCCTTAAGCTTATTAGGGTGAGGGATGCAAGTCAGGCTTCGTGGAGAGACTTCTGGTTGGGTATTAACACAGCATGCCATCCATTACGCAAGTATTTTGCTGTGGCAGACAGAAAGTGACATTTATGGGTCTATCATGAGAATGGATTTCACCATCCATTAAAATGATGTACAGGTAAACACTCCATTCATTTTTAATCTACACCGCTTTGGGTCTTTTCCCTGCTCTGGAAGATGGTCCCATCAATAGCGCTGCTATTAGCAAAACTATTCAACAGGAAGTAAGAGCCACTGAATAATGCGGAAACTCTGCAATTAAGGAGATTGCAGAGCAAATGGGGAAAGAATTAAAATCCCCTACCATCACTCACCTGCCCTGAATGCCATTGGTTTGCCATTGTGGAGGAGTCACTGTCGGTCTCCGAAGAGATCTTTGCAATTCTGATGCATGTGCTACTTATTACGTACATTTTGTCATTTTTTAAAAAGAGATAAAGGAATATAACTTTATTGATGTCTGGATATATTTCCATATTAAACGCAGAGATTATAGTTCTTTTCTGTTTCCTGAATGCTTACTTGAGAATTGACTCAGGGTGGGGTTGGGGTTGAGAGAATTAGGGTCCACTTCAGGATTAATCTCAAATGTGATGGGAAGTAAGATTGGTCTTCTATGCTCTGCAGACCATGCCCCTGTATCAGTCACCTGAAAGTTAAATAAGGAGAACACATCTAGAGCAGTCTTCGTCAACCTTGGCTTAGAGCTTGTTCACCCTTCCGACTGCCTCACCAGTTCCCTCTGGGAAAACCTGCTCTTTACCACTAAATCGGGTTTTTTTGTGGATTGACATTTGCTCTGATGTAGCAGTAAAGAGAGGGTTTTCCCAGGAAAAGAGGTGAGGCAAATGAAAAACCACTCAGGCCCATGTCTAGGAATCATGGGACAAGCGGAAAACCTGTTGGAATCATGCTTAAGCCTGCACTTGCTTGTCTTCATTGGACTGAGTGGTACAAGAATTCCAGATGAATTCCAGTGCCTAATTAGATATAGCAATATTTTCTAGCTGCCAGCATGAGCCTCTTTTGGATCTCTGTTTGCTCCAGTGGCTGTGGCGCTGTGGTTTAAACCACAGAGCCTAGGACTTACCGATCAGAAGGTCAGTGGTTCGAATCCCCGCGACCGGGTGAGCTCCCGTTGCTCAGTCCCAGCTCCTGCCAACCTAGTAGTTTGAAAGCACAAAGTGCAAGTAGCTAAATAGGTACCACTCCAGCGGGAAGGTAAACGGCGTTTCCGTGCGCTGCTCTGGCTTGCCAGAAGTGGCTTAGTCATGCTGACCACATGACCCAGAAGCTGTATGCCGGCTCTCTCAGTCAATAAAGTGAGATGAGCGGTGCAACCCCAGAGTCGGTCACGACTGGACCTAATGGGCAGGGGTCCCTTTACCTTTACCTTGCTCCAGTGAGAAGCAAAAGCCTCCTTCTGACTGGCCTTACCCCATCACTAACTCAATACATAGCTACCTGCATCTCCTAAAGTTACGCTCTCTTCACCTCCATTTCCTACATGGGCTATGCCTCTGCCACACAAGGCTTGCTTCCTCTATGTGACATTCACAACCACTTGCCCAGTGAAGCTAAAAGGAGTTTGGTGTCGTGTGCAGAGTACCAGATGAGATGAGCATCTTAGTAACAAAAGCAGCGGGTCGTTGTATTGACTCCCTCCACTCGGCCCATAATTTTCCGTAACTTTATTATGTTATTTACCACCTTTTTAAAAAAAATAAAGAACAAAGAAAGAAAGCTGTCCATTCCTAGATAATTCTACCTGTCCTCTTCTTCTCTAGGAATCTCAGCTCAAGGTCATCTAGAGGTCCTTCTGTTGTGACATCAGGACAACCCAGCCAATCACAGCTAAGGAGCATCATCACCTCCAGCTCTATTATGCCACACTTGATACATTACAATATCTGAATGCATATTTCTCCTACTTCTGTCGCCCTCTTTTTTTTTTTTTACAGTTTTGATTAGGGAGCTATTATCAGCAGACAAAGGAAAGGAAATCTCCCATAAATATACTCTACTGTAAAGGATAATAAAAAAATGCTCAAAGGGGCTAAGGAGAGAAAATATATGGGGCTGAAACAATTTATTAGCACGATCCTTAACAAAGTTACGCAAGAAGTTTTAGGACCTTAATAAATATTGGTGTCTCACCCTTCCCCCATAATCATCTGCTATTTAATTAGCACTTAAGAGCAACCCAACAGAATCTAAATTGAATCTTTACTTGAGAAACTTTGTTTAGGAGAATGTGTGATTGAAATTTATCAGCAAGAAGAGAAAGCCTTGACCTTGCAATGCTGAGGAATACTTTAATATAATGCTTATGTGGTGTGGATTATCAAGCTGAGATTCACCGATTCCTGGAGCTCCCTGCAAACTTTTCAGGGACTCTTCACTAAAAAGGTCAGTAGAGACAGAGAAGGTTCTGCTAAATACAGTTTTTTCTGCTATACAGATCAAGAACCGGCTCTCCACATGTTTGGGTATCTCCTGAACTCTCCCAGCACCCTAGCAGGATCCAGCCCTGTGCTGATGCTTGCTTTGGCCATCTGGGCCAAGCAGCTTGGAACCATTTTAATTTCCATGCAACAATGCTGCTGACATAGCCCTACTCTGGTGCATTGTGGGAAATCAATAGTGGTTCCTTGGGGGCTAGCATTTAATTTCCCCACAATGCTGCTGACATAGCCTCACTTCGGGTTATTGTTAGAAAATCTGCCCCTGTTTGCACCCCTCCCTCTACTTCTGCACAACCTGCCTAGGAATGTGCAGAACCACCTAGAGAGCTGTTTTTGTCTTATTTCAGCTTCCCTCAACATTTCTCAAGTGTTTCACTCAGAGGCAAAGGCCTAAATTCTGATGCTGCACTTTGAATGGTTGTAACCCACGAAGGGCAGGTAATAAATTAAAACATTATTATTATTAATAATAATTTGTTCCACATTTGCTGAACAACAACACAGCTTAACAAAAAGCTTAGCTTTCTCAAGCCCCCATTTCTACACACAGACCCAACAATTAGGGGGCATTTCACAACAGATGTCCTAGTAAAAAATGGCAAGAGAAACAACGAAGAATCCCTCTTAGCGCCTGGCGAAGAAGAAGCAATCCTTCGGGAGATGGGGAGATGACAAAGTCTATTTTCTCAAAATTGCATCATTGTCAATAGCTAAATATATTTCACTTTAGTGCCATGGTGTATAAAATATGTCTCTGGAACAATCCCTGACTTTCCTGCCAATTTCTGCTTGGATTCTCTTTGATGGCATCTGCTTCTCACTTCTTCTTCTTTTTTTTAAGCAAAGTTTTTCCCTTTGATCCACAGAGCAGCAGCAAAAGCTACAAAGGCACTTATTTTTATTAGCAGCTGTTTCTTGGAAGATGTCCTTCTTTAGAATCAGTTGAGCTGCCATCGCTCAACTGCCAGCTGCCAAATCTGTATCCTTCTAAACTTCAGGGTCCAATGCAAGATTACCTGTGCAGAGGCAGGTCAGAATTTGGCCTTGGGTCAGGAACCAATGTATGCAATTGGGATTATGGTTTGGGATTTGTCACCCTGGGAACACTGTTGTTGTTGTTTAGTCGTGTCCGACTCTTCGTGACCCCATGGACCAGAGCACGCCAGGCACTTCTGTCTTCCACTGCCTCCCGCAGTTTGGTCAAACTCATGCTGGTAGCTTCGAGAACACTGTCCAACCATCTCGTCCTCTGTCGTCCCCTTCTCCTTGTGCCCTCCATCTTTCCCAGCATCAGGGTCTTTTCCAGGGAGTCTTCTCTTCTCATGAGGTGGCCAAAGTATTGGAGCCTCAGGTTCAGGATCTGTCCTTCCAGTGAGCACTCAGGGCTGATTTCCTTAAGAATGGATAGGTTTGATCTTCTTGCAGTCCATGGGACTCTCAAGAGTCTTCTCCAGCACCATAATTCAAAAGCATCAATTCTGGGAACACTACTTTCATTTAAACATTATGTAGCTTTCTGGTCCTTAAGGATCTATATGCAGCAATTTCATGGGACTAGAAGCAGGCAGAGAAAATGTTCACAGAGTGGCATAGACACCAGACACAGATATACATTTATATTCACATCAGTAGGTGGGTGGTTATTTTTATTTGCCCTGTTTGGGTGTGCCAGCCCCACATTGTAGAAGTTGCATGTATGAACATAAGAACAGACTGCAAAAGGTCCATCTAGTCTGCCATTATTGTGTTTTCGCATGAGAACCTGAACCCCTGATTGCTCTTTGGTCTAGAATCTTGGCTTGCTTCTGCCTCTAGGTTTGTCTTCAGTCCTGCCTTGCTCTTCAATTCCAACCACTGGCCTGTCTCTTTGCTTCTGAATCCTATTGCAGCCCAGCTCTGACCTGAAGACACAATGCTACATCACCATGACCAATCAGATTTAGCTAATGATGACATCACTGCTGGCAACTGATGTCAATTTAATGAGTTAAACCAGTGTTTCCCAAACTTGGGTCTCCAGCTGTTTTTTGACTACAACTCCCACCATCCCTAGCTAGCAGGACCAGTGATCAGAGATGATGGGAATTGTAGTCCAAAAACAGCTGGAGGCTCAAGTTTGGGAAACACTTGAGTTAAAGCAAAGATCCTGGCAAGGAATGGCCACAACTAACCAAGGCTGAAAAAGGGACTTTATTTTTTTCCACCTCTGCCAAAAATGATAATAGAAACCAGTGAGCAATTTGGGCTCTCAGCCTTGTCTAATAATAGCAACAGTCTATTTTCTAATATCCTTGTAAGCAAAAGGAGGCATAGCTGCACACAAACCATTCCTTGGTTTAAGAAGGCATTGCAATCTTGTACTTGAAAGGGGCCTACTAAATCCACCATCTTCACAAAAACATTGAAATGCTCGGCCTGAATACAAATTAATTAATTTGCTTCATTTCCTTAATGGGGAAATATTATCTCCTGAAGCTAACAACCTCTTTTCCCCTTTCCTTCTCAATCAGACAGACACGTTTTGGGAGAGATTACACAGCAGCTAATCTAATAAAGGAGTGTGATAGGGGGGAAAATGTCTCTGGGGCTTTAACAGGGAAGTAACAAACAAACAATCACATATGTTTCTTTTCATTTAATTCCGGCTGTAGGGGCAGATGTAACTTCTAACCCATTATGATGAATCTATCATTTCATGATTAACTCAATGATGTGTGAGAAGAAGGTGTGGGGCTTTTTATTAAAAAAACATAACCACCACCCAAAAGTCACCATGAATTGTGTTCATTTCAGAAGTGGGCTGGCTGGTTTTCCACAAGGAGGAGAAAGTGAGGTGAACACATCAGGGTGATTAACGCAGTCATATAAAGGTGGGAAAACAACAGAAAGGCTTTTGTTTGCTTGGACTTTTAAACTTGCCTTCTCCACGCAAATAATTATTGAGTCACTCGGGTGCCTCAAACTGGCTGCTAGGGACAATTGCTTGTTGTCTCTTGTAATGGACTTGGGGAGGGGGAATCCTTGTCCTACTTATTTTGTGATAAAGCAGGGAGGATGTATATCATTGAAACAACTTCTAGAAGGGTAGTGATGCCAGATCACTTCCAGGTGGCCAATAATTTTGTGGGAGGGATTCATGCACCTATTGGAACTTGAAGTTTGTATGTTGAAAATGGATGAAAGTAACTCAGACTCCCTGGCATGGCAAATCCACTTAAAACACACAGAGATACTTTTGGGGGGATTAGGAGTGAACTATACTCGGAGTCGAGTGAGAATTACATGCTCTTTATTCACCTCGTAGTAGCAATGAATGAAACTTTCCCCAAAACGTCTAGCTATATATACATTATTTACATAATGGGCCCCGCGTGATTGGCTAATTCTGGGCTGCTCCTGTAGGCTAATCAGGTTGCAGATTCACTTCCTCCAGAAGCCTGATTGGCTGCTCCTGCAGGCCAATCAGGTTGCTGATTCACTTCCACCTGGAGCTGGATTGGGTGGCTCCTGTGGACCAATCAGACTGCTGCATTCTAGAGCCTATTGTTCTAGGATTCAGCTCAGTACATAACAAGGAGAGTGACAGGGGAATGCACCAAAAAGTGGGATGAACAGATGATTAACTGGAAGACATGCAAATGTAACTGAAACCAAACAGGATGACTTCACATTGTTATATAACTTCCCTGTACACAAATCATAATGAAGGATCAGTAAAGACCATACAGAGTCTGGCCTCTGTGTAAGCTTCACAGAAGAAAATCAAAAGGAATGCTCAGTATATAGGTCAGCTAGAGAAGCTGTTTGTTGCATGGGGGTGGGGGCTGTCTCATGGAACTCTAAAACTGGTGGGGAAGCTATGCCCCCCCCAGATGTTGCTAACTCTAATTCTCATCAGCCCCAGCCAACATGGCCAGGGGTGATCACAGTTGTAGACTTCTGGAGCTCCACAGGGTCCCCTGTCCTTGCTTGAAAGACAAAGACATTTATTGCTGTCGATGTTTTCATAGACATAAAGCCCATCAGATGCAGCCTCTTTGAATTAAGCTATGGGGTCACAGATCCTCCAAGTGTCCCTATTTTCCAGGGACAGTTCCAGATATACAGAAGCCGTCCCGGTTTCTGATTTGATTCTGGAATGTCCTGTTTTTGCTTAGGATGTCCCTATTTTTATCAGAGAAATGCTGGAGGGTATGGAGTTATGCGATCCCCGAGTCAAGGAGATAAGTAACTATATAACATCTAAAAGACATCTGTGGGCAACCTTGTATAGGGAAGTTTTTTTAATGTTTAATGTTTTATTATGGGTTTTGTATATGTTGGAAGCTGCCGAGAGTGGCTGGGGCAACCCAGTAAAATGGGGGGGGGTATAAATAAAATAAAATAAAAATAATGGAATATTGACATTCCTATTTTCATCAGAGAAATGTTGGAGAGTGTGGGGTCAGCAGAGTCACATGGCAAATTCTTTGCTTGGTTTGCCGAGGAGCAGGGGATCACATTAGCAAATAAATATTCCCTATTGGCAAACCTTTGTGTATGAGAATTAGGTCTTATGAAGGCAAAACAATATGTGATTCCGCTGATGGTGCAGTCTAACTCTCAGGGAGCCATCACCAGTGAACAATGCAGCACCGATGTGTGCTTTTAGGTTTAATCTGCTGAGCTGATTTTCATTACAAAATGCGGGTTAAACACATGCAGAATCAGAGATGCGTATTCCCTAGCGATGGCACAGGGAGTAACAAGAATACAGGGGCCTACTGGGGTTATATCAATCCATGTTTAAGAGGGGTTTTCATAAAAAGGACAAATGTGTAGCATTGTAGTGCCATCTGCTCAGGTGAAAGAGTGTGCCACGTTTGCCCCCTTTGCAGCGGGCTCAGATGGCAATCCATTACTACTTAATTGCACATTGCTGAATTGGCTGTTGCTGCTTCTCCATTGCTGATTGGTTGGTTAAGGCATCTCCTTTCCCACTGGCTGAGAGCACGCCTTCAGCCAGCAGGCAATAAATGGGAGCATGTAAAGCTTCTGCCCTCAGTCCACGCTGTCATCGTTTTCTCCATAGGACTCTCTTTTCTCTCTCTCAGCCTGAGATGCAGAAGCTGGTCGATAACACCAGACCTGCAGCTTTCAAGTCCAGGCACAAACAGCTTTCCAATTTCTGGCAGAAGAAACAATAAGAAGGAAAAGCTTTGCTCATGGGGTGGCATTGCATGGACATCCAGGGCAGTGGCAGAAAAGCTTTATGCTGTCAGCTCTCTGCTGACTTGTAAATATCCCACAAGGTGTTTGTGGAAAAAATGGGCAACAAACCTTTTACAACTAAAAGGACACATCCCCTTTGGGGGAGCCAACTGAGGGCTCTACGCCAATGGTAGGTGGAGCCAGAGGCAGAAGTGGGGGTTCATCTACCCCTCTGTTTGCCCTGCTGCTTTCCTCCAGGATAACCTGTGGTTTACTGCTGAATTGGACCAAATAGCAATTGAATTTTCCATTTGTTCTGATTCAGTGGCATACAGCATGTTCTCCAGGGGAAAGCTGCAAGGCAAACACAAAACCACTTGGACATGTGCTTTCTAGCCATGGGGCAAATGCAAGAGTGGACAAGCTCTAAGTGAGCAGCTAATGCAAATGTTACCTTTGTATAATAATAATAATAATAATAATAATAATAATAATAATTTTTTTTATTCTTTATACCCCACCCATTTGGCTGGGTTGCCCCAGCTGCTCTGGACGGCTTCCAAAACATATAAAAACATCATATAGTAGGCTCGTTTGAACAGACACACACTCCCACCTCTGTATCCTCCCTCCAGACAGGCAAGAGGTAATCATCTGAGCTTAAGGATTCATTCCAGCCTGGCAAAAACCATTGGGAGGGAAAGCAGGGCCAGTGAGGGGGTGTGGCTTGGGGAGAGTTAGGAGGGACAATAGAGAGGTCTTGAGGGCCACATTCAGTATCTGGGCCAGAGGCTCCACATCCGTCTTTGAAAACATGCCAGCTGCAAACTCATTCACTTAGCACCTAGCATGTAATAATTTGTTTCCAATTGAAGCCACCAATATACCTTCAGAACAAGGATGGGGAACCTGTAGCCTTCTGGGTGTTTTTGGACTACAAGCCCCATAATCCCCAACCATCAGGTGAGGCTGATGGGAGCTGGAGACCAACACTGGTGGAGGGTGGTTCACAGCTTCACTATACTGATCTAGAACCCTAGGACGCAATGTTGACAGGTCTGTATCCTGTAGTTTGCCCCTACTTTCTGGTGCATAGAATTATAATGCTTTTGAACATGAAGGCTCTCTTCAGATAGCTATTGACTGACCTATCTGCTGTGGGTTTGTCCAACCCCATTTCAAAAGCCATGGCGCCTACTGGTTGTTGCCACATCTTTGAGTAGACAATTTCATAGTGTTAATGACTCCTGGCTTGCTTCCAGTGAACTCAGTCCTGTCCCCTCGCTGCTAATGAAGCCATTTGGAAGGAGGCAGCAGAAATATTTACCAAACACGGTTAAAAAGACTTCAGGGATGAAAAGCACTTAAGATGTCCAAGGTCTGATGCTGGCGAGATGGCTTGCATGGTCTGTCATTCAGTAAGGGATTACTATTCCAAACACGGCCTTAGTGATTCCACTGTGTGGCATCTAATTAACTGTCAGAAATGCATTGTTGAGGGGATGATGGATTATCCAGTTGAAGGCATTAATAAAGCTCATTCCAGTTTCCTCATGTGCAGGCTGGTACCAAGTGAAGCTAAGCTAAGCAAGAAACTCATTTCCCACTGGTTTGCAAAGCTACCTGAATGACGATCTGCAGGGACTTATCAATTCCCTACAATTAACAGTCTCCGAAATGCCACCTCCTCTGTACTTGACAAAGCTGCAAGGGCGTATGATTGCAGACTTCTAGCTCTCAATCCTTCTGCTAAGCATCCTTTGATACAATGAATTGAAGCAAACTCCGGTTCCCCACTTAAGACCCTTTAAACACTGTGAGGACCATGATCAGAACCCAACCACTTGGTTGGGCCATTCAAGCATTTTACTAAATGGAAAAAGTGATTCCTACATAGCTATGGTAACACTGAAAGTACATATGCTCCATAGGGATCAGCAGCCAAACTTGAAGTTCCCACTGACCTAAAAGACTGGCAATCCTACCCTGGATTGTGGAGTCCTGGACTTTAGCCCCAAGGTCCAGCCCTAGTTTCACCTCTGGCCCGAAAGGTAGAGCTGGAACAGTGGTTGCAGTCTTTTAGGACAAACCAGGGAACCTTCAGACTCCAGAAACGAAGTTTTACTTCAAGAAACGTGGATTCAGACCTCATTGTGACCCCTAACAATTCACATCTACTAAACTTTAATTTGTCACTGGTGATGGTTTGGCTCTGTTTATCCCACATGATTTACTTTACATTCTCTTTCAGGATGGACTCCATGTGTGAGTGAGCAAACAAGACAGGGGAAGGCAGAATAGCCTCATCTTGAAGGAACATCCCTTTTGTAAATATGTTTGGCAATGAAAACACTGGTCCTTGCTGAGATTTTATATCACCTCCCAGCTTCCTCTCTTTGTTCTGTGGCTAGCTGTTGACTTGGCTTCATATTACAAGGAGATAAAAGATGGGAGCAAAAGAATAGTAGTGCAAAGGATGGATATTGAAGGAGGATGGATTATCAAAGGATACCACTGGTAAGGGTTGGGCAGCTAACAGCTCAACCTACCTTCTATCCTCATTCCGCCCCCCCCCCGGGATCTCTTCCACATCTGCATTTGTTAAACCAAATATTTATAGTATACCTCTCTGTCGTGTATAGACTGAGAACACCAGGAGCTGTTTTGTATCTTACAGGTGCCACTCTCATTAAAGAACAGAAATAACTCCAGAAGCCTCTTGCGCAGGGGCAGCCAGTGTGGTACCCTCCAACATGTTGGACTACAATTCACATCATTCCTGATGATGCTGGCTGAGGCTTGAGGGAATTGGATCCCACATTAGCTGCCTGTGCTGTGATGTGCTGCATCCCAGCACAACGAATTAACTACACACTGTCCCCTTAAGAATATCCCAGCCTCCAAACCCTCTCTTCATTTGGACTAGGAGCAGCCCCACTGCAGACATGCATTAAAAGCCTTATCAAGGATCTGTAAATGTTGCAGCCAAATAAAGTAAATTTCCTGTGTCAATCCTGAATGTCACAGCCCATTGTCTAAGAAGCAACACACCTGGGAGCATCACAAAGGTCTCCATAGATACGTCTAAGGTATGTAAGTCTGTGACATTATCCCCACATCACAGTTGGGAGCACTGAGGCTGAGGAGCAGTGATCTGATGAATTTATGGGTAAGGCAAGATTTAAATCCCCCCATCACCTATTTTTCCCCCCTAACTGGGGCTTGCTGTCAAAGTTGTAAGAGGCTGTTGTTGGCTTGTAATTATCATGCCAACAGCAACACTGTGAAAATCCCAGCAAAAGCTTCACAGAAGGGCAGGCAAAATGATCAAAGAGTCAGAGAAACTCCCCTGTGAAGAAAGGCTGCAATGTCTGGAACTTTTTGGTATAAAGCAGAGGTGAGTAAGAGGTGACACGATAGAACTTTATAAAATGTAGCTGGATGTTGGAAGATTCAGTGCAGACAAAAGAAAGTACTTCTACGCACAGAGCTTAGTTACGGTAAACTATGGAACTTGCTCTCACAGAAGACACTGATGGCCACCTACCTGGGTGGCTTTTAAAGAGGATTAGAGAAATTCATGGAGGAGGGCTACTGACAGCTTTGCTCTGCTTCCACGGTCAAGCTACCAGTTGATAGAAACCACAGGAGAGGAGAGGGCTCTTGCGTTTGGGTCCTGAATGGGGTTTCCCCATAGGTACCTGTTTGGCCACTGTGAGAGCAGGATGCTGGACTATTGGCCTGATCCAGCATGACTCTTCCTAATTTCTGTTGTGTTTTGAATGGACAATATTTTCATATATTTCTGAATGGATGAAAAGTCAGGGGAAAGTCTTCCATGTGAAACAGTCTCCTATACTAAAAAAAACCAACTTTTAAAACTATGCGGAATCAGCTCTTTGTGCAAAATGTGCCCTAGGTCTTGTATGGATTAATGTGTTTCACTTTTTCAACCTGAAACCCCAATTCTGATAAGACCTGCAGGGCTGCCTGGATGATCTTCTTTCTTTTCTTTTCTAAAAATTGTATAATCCTTAACATGCACCTCACAGTGATTTTACTGACTGATAGAATATTGTACTTCACAGTGACAGCTTGACATTTTGCCTTATTTGTACAGATGAAAATCTCCCAAACTTCCATTTGATAATTCACTTTTTCATAGAACCCACCTTTCCCCCAGCTGCATCTTGCTTCCTCAAACACAAAATATACAGATCAAGAAAGTCTTCGTCTTTCTTCTTCACCACTAGACACCATTCAAGCATGTGACACCCCTCCCCCATCTAAAGTGATGCAATCGAGAAAGGGTGGTCACCCACACTCAGTGAATATCTGGAGCTGTTAAACGTGATAGCTATGTTCTAATTCCACTGTTGGAGGCAATATGCCTCTGGATACCAGTTGCGGGGAATCACAAGTTGAAAGAGAAGTGTAGAACTCAGGTCCTGCTTTAAAAGAGGATTAGACAAATTCATGAAGGGTGAGGCTGGCAGTGGCCACTAGCCTCAGCGGCTACATTCTATCTTCACTGCCCAGGTAGGAAGTCTCTGAGTGCCAGTTGGTGAAAACCACAGGAGGAGACAATGCTCTTGTGCTTATGTCCTGCTTGCTAGTTTCCCTGAGGGATCTGGTTGGCCATGGTGATGCTGGACTAGATGGGCCATTCTCCTGATCCAGCAGGGATATTCTAATGTTCTTAACTTCAGGACTGAGCTGAGATCAGAACCCAGATACTAATTATACTGATATTTCAAGCACTAGGCACTGCCCATAGAATAAGTAAACATACACATCTTTGTCCATGGGCTTCCCATTGAAAGTAAAAATAACATTCAAGGAGGGAAGAGAGCGAAGAAGACTAAAGCCTTTGTCAAAATCACCCTTCCTGAGCAGATCAGCTTGACAGAGGCCATTTCTAACAGACAGTCTTCCATCAGACCTCTGCATTGGCAATTAGGCTTCCCCAAGCTTGAATCTCTTGGGGAAATAGTTTAGCTGAGTCCTTTTGCTTCCCTGGCTGGGAGATTGACACTCCTCCGCCAGATGTCCATTTCTGACTGCACAATATCGTTCCCACAAATGAAGCAGAAGCTGGATGTTCATTCTGACTCTCCACTTAATGGTGAAATATCTTCTTCTGGTGTGGCATGATGAGGGGCAGTGGGGAGCAGGAGCAGGAAGAGGTGCCAAGCATCTGGTCACTGTTCATCTTCTCTGATGCTGTGCCACTGAGAGGAGAATGAAATGAAAAGGACCATGATGCACCATTACACATCAGCTCATCTTGCAAGCCAGACATTTGAAGTGCTATGATGTCACTTTAAACTGTCATGGCTTCCTTCAAATAATTGTGGGAGCTGTAGTTTGTCAAGGGTGCTGAGAGTTGTAACAGTACCCCATTCCACCTCCCAGAACTACAATTCTCAGCATTCCCTGATTATTCAATAGGGTTGCCATATTTCAAAAAGTGAAAAATCTTAACAACAAAAAGAAGTTTTTGAGCTATTTTTAAGGAAATTCTCCAAGATATACGTTTCCAATGTGGGTTGCTATACGGGTGGATTTTCCCAGACATTCCAGCGATTTCTGCCCAGACACTGTTTCCGATGGCCGAATCCCATCTATGTCCGGAAAATTCCAGACGTATGGCAGCCCTATAACCACTCTGGCAATAAAGAGAAGAAGTCCCCCCTAGCAGCTCCCAGAATTCTTTGGGGGAACTCATTACAGCTGGAAGTGGTAGCATAGTGCTTAGAAGGTACAGGGTAAAAGTGGCCTTTGTTTGTCTGAAGTGCAAATTCAGAGCACAGCAAAATGCTTCAGAGAACCAAGGAGGTTTATTTGTTTATTTGTTTTTGTTTTTAAAAAAGCTCTGAAATTCACCATTCCATGATAGCAACACCCTTTGAACTGATAGCCATGGAAGGCAAAATCCTATTGGTTGGAACAATTTGGATAGACCAGACAGCTGTTAAAACTGCCTGGATGCATATTGCCTTTGTTGCCAGCCTCCAAGGATGAAAAAGAGAGGTGTTTTGCGATGCGGGTAGTTTGCAGTGCATGTCAGGCCACCCTCCAGTTCCTGATCCTTTGTTGTATATGCTGCCATGTGCATTTAAGATGCAGAGAACGCAGTTGGCTGTTAGTCCAGGTGGGCCAGGCTGGTGTCACAGTTCAGGCTAACAAACAAGGATCAGAGGCAGGTATGAAGTCAAATGTCAAGTCATCATCCAAGGTAAAGGAAAATAGTATCTTCACACCAGAGTCAAATTGCTTGGGCTGAAGAGAAAGCTTTTAAAGTAAGACTTTTCTGGGCCTCGTAGATAGGGATTGGCCCATGGAGTCAGCTGACTAATGCTAGATGGAAGTCCTGGTTCAACTTCTATCCTGTACTCATGTCTCACAAAGACATCCCGTTAACCCTGAACAAACAGCAGCCATGTTGGCTGGGTACCTATATATCCCTCAGTCTTAAAGATCCCCTGGGTGCTTCTAAGTTAGATGGGGATGGTTATCACTTGGTGCCTTCCTCAAAACACCCCCTTACTGCTCTGATTCCTAAGGACAAGAGTCTTCTTTGTACCAGAACTGCTGGTGGCTAAGACACAGTGAACGTTTAATGAAAGGATATTAACCACTGCCTGTTGACGATCAGGGTGAGAGTTTGATACTGGCAGGCAATTAGGGATGAAACATTTCTCCAAGCACTCAGAATCTGACGCTGCTTCAATCAGGATTTAGGTTGGTCAGAAAGCAGCCATAAAGCAAAACCCTCCATGACAAAAAGCGGAAACAAATTAACACAGACTGTCAAGACTGCTTCATCCCTTTGATTTGGGGATGGTCCTTTGAGGGGAAGAGAGCAGAGGCAGTGCTTCAGAGTAGAGAACTGTCTTTTCGACTTCCGGGGTGGCGCCATCGGCAATGGCGGACTCCCTCTGAACTGGAGGGACTAGCTCTGTGTGAAACGGGTCTTTTCTGCTACGGCGAAGCAGGGACCCTGCTAAAAATCACAGGCGGATGAAGCCTGTGACCATGGGACTCGGCGGGCACCCTTAGTGCCCCCCCAACCCGCAAAGGAACCCACTAACGCGCTCCAAAGTGAAGAGGGGGAAGTGGCGCGGTGCTGTGAGTCAACTGCTATTTCCGTGGAGCGAAGCCGCATAGCCGTTGCCGGAGAGCGCTGCCTTTTCCTGGGACAATTTGGCTTCTAAAATAAGCACCCGTGAGTACTTAAAATTTGAACAATCGGACTTTAAATAAGGACTTGCGTGCAGAAAGGAATTGGACTTAAAAATTTACTTCAATTTGGTACTGAAACGGGAAGGTCTAAACAGGAAGTCAGCCTTCCGTTTATTTGTAGACAGAATAAAGCAAAGACAACGTAAACTAGAGCTCAGAAAATCGCCTCTAAAGGATTGGATTTCATCATTTAAAATTGTGGAACCCCCCTTCGACAGCAGGAGAAGGAGGGGGATCTTTTCCAGACTGTTTAAACCTGCAGAAGTGAGTTTAAAGTAAAGTAACTTTCCACCGTCCTGATCCTGGAGCGGGGTGTCAGGACTGACGTTTGAAGCTCATTGACCAGAGACAAACGTTTTTGACAGATAGTTAAAGGAAGAGAAACATAGTGATTCCACTGTTTCCTTTCGCATTTTAAGGAACAAATATTGACAAAATATCTCAAAAAGGATACTTTGTTGCAAGAACAAATAGAAGTTCTCCCCCTAGAGGGAGACTGTGAAACTGTAACTAATTCCAGGGAGCTTGCAGCTGTCACAGATTACAATCGTGGGAATGGACTTGTGACCTTGTAGGACAATGTATTCAGAGGCTCTGTTGTGTGCTCTCTGGAAAACAAGTGCCCTACTGGAACAGTTAAATGAGAAGATGGATTTGATGACTAATGCGGCCAGAATTTTTGAACAGGCAGTGGGAAACTATGTGGAGCCCACCCAGGAATTAGAACAGGAGTGCGTCCTGACAGAGCAGATGAGAGAAGAGGATGTTGCTGAATCTTGGGCGCCAGAGATGGAGGGAGCTGCAGCCTTGCAGGAGCATGAGCTTTTGGACTTGACAAATGAACTTGGAAAAAGCCAGATTTGGAAAGATAAAGTTTGGATTGGTTTGGAAATGGGGGGTTGGATAGACCCCCTACGCAGGGATGTTTGGACTTTCCGAGTCTGGCAATGGACCATGAGATGTTTGGAGCTGTGGGGGCTCTCAATTTTGGAGGGATTCTGAAACGTTTTTAAATACCACATGGAGTTGAGTCTGGACTATGGAAAAGGGGCTGATTTGCTGAAAAGGGTCAAAAACATCAGCAAGCTGGAGTTCCCACGAGTGAAAGGAGAATATGAAGAAGAGCTGCGGAAGGGACATGGAAGAGATTTAAGGGCCTCGGATATAAGGTTACCAGGTTAATGCGCTAGATCGATGGGATAAAAAGGACTGACAAAACCCGGGACCAGGAGGAAGGGACGCTGGAGGAAGACTTGATTATTTTTATCTCTTTTTTTTATTACCAGGATTGTTTTATAAAATTGATGAATGTTAGAAAAATGCTGGAATGAAATTACTTGGCTCTAGTAAAAATGTTTAAAGAATTAGGTAAGAATATTATGGTTGTGAGAAGTCGGTAAAAATAAGATTTAAGTTTTAAGTTTTTAAGGTTTTCTATAAGATAAGATGAAAATAGATTAAGGTAATGTAATGACAGAATATTATGAAATATGGAAAGGATTTGCTGCGATAATTATTAACTAGGATACAAAAAAAGGGAGGCGGAGGAGGTCAAAGAAAGAAGGTAATGAAAGTTGAGGATTTGAGAATGGTGGAGTTATTATTGTCTGTCTGCAGCGTATTTTTGTTTTTTGAATTTGTATTGTTTGATGTGGTTTGTTTTTTCTTTGTTTCTTTTTTCCCCTTTTTTCTCCTTTTCTGCTTTATTTTTTCTCTGTAATTTATTTTTTTTCCCAATAAATATCATTAAAAAAGAAGAAGAGAGAACTGTCTTTTCCTGGTGTATCAACCAAGGAGTCAACCTCAGGGGAACTGGATTAACTGGAAGTGGGCCAGGCATCCTTTTAGGTGTGGTAGGACACAGTGCTATGTTGGAAGCAATAAGTGAGGTTTGGCTCAGCATATTGTCAGGGGGTCAGCAGTCAGATGCTGGAGCAGGTGGTCAAGAGGCGGGGAGCAAGAATGGGCATCATTCTTCCACTTCCCAGGACTATATTCATCCCCTGCAAAGGTAAGAGAAAAATGGTATGTCTGTGTAGGTGTCAGGAGCCCTGAGTGGGAGGGAGGAAGGACTGGCTGGAAGGAAGGCACTCTTGCACAACCCTACGAATTATTGCCAGGGCACCGGAAGAGAACACGTTCTGGTGATTGTCAGCAGGGTTGCACCAGAGCACCTTTTGGTTCAGTGCTCTGGCACGATCCTGTTGACTTGCACCAGAGTGAGTGATGCTCTGGACTCACATCAGAGCACTGGACCAAGAAATGGGATATTATGGGAACCAAACAGAAGCCGGAATTGGTTTCTGTGATCTGGGATGTCCTGCTTAAAATGGGACACTTGTGGGGTATGTCCTCCATGAATTTGTTTAATCCTCTTTCAAAGCAATCTAGGTTGGTAGCTATCTCTGCTTCCTGTGGGGGTGAGTTCCATAGTTAACAAATAATAATATTACTAAACAACAGGAAGACTCTGTTTCTCACCCGCTTGGGTGGGGTGGGGAAAAAGGAAGGAAGACACAAGCTCTTTGATCTAAGTCCTGCTCCCTTCCACATTTTGTAGTAAAGCAGGCTAGGGAGGCTCTGGACAATGGCCTCCAATCTCAGGTGGATTATTAGCCCCAGTAATGAAGAGCATAGCTCATGTGAAGGACAAGGCGTTTTCAAAACCCATTAATTTTACTCATAATGGGGAATTAATGTGCAGAAAGGCAATGCCAGCCCAACAGTAATTGCTTTTTTCAGAAGGTTTGGAACAGTCAGGAAGTAAAACTCATTTTCAGGCAATGCTTTCTTCCCACCCCCAACTCCCTTTCTATCTTTCAGAAGAATTGAATTTTTTTTTAAAAAAATGCTGCTGCTTTTTCTTCATTATGGGTTGTTATATTTCATCATTACAAGACTTTCATATTTCAGCGTTTTCTCATTACATTTTTATAATTCCCCCTCTCAATATTAACATATAGGGGCAGAGCTGACGAGTCAGACTCAACAGGCTGCGGCCTATATTAATGTTTCAGTGTGTGGTGGAGTTAATTAGTGGCCATAATTCTCAGTGCTTCTGACCTTTGAGCAGGTGGCAGAAATCTGTTTTTGGTCCACCACTTCTGGATTACATGTCCGCCTTCCTGTCAATGAGGCCTCCCTTTGGTAACATGGCTAATGCATTCTGAAATTCCAAAAGCATCCATTGTGATGTCATCAGATTGCAAATAGATTCCACACACCCCAAACCCATTTCCACAATGATTTTTTTTGCTGAAATACCCTTGTGTAAGAACATAAGAAGAGCTCTGCTGGTTCTGGCCAATGGCCCATCTAGCCTAGTATCCTGTTCTCACCATGACCAGCCAGATTCCTGTGGGAAACCCACAAACAGGGCCCAAACATGAGTGTAGGTGAGTTCAGACTCCAAGTATGGATGGGGGCAGATGCTCCCATCCAAGCTTCAACCTCATGCAAATCCATGTATATCCTCCAACAGGGGCTTCATGATGACATTCTTACATTTTTATTACATAGAAATGCCAAAATAGACACATGCACTCATCCCTACATTAGAACAGGTTTCACCAAATACAAATGAATTAGAAAAAAATCCATGTGCCATCACAACTGTTAATTCATATCAGTACATACCTTGCTAAATCAAGGCTAATGCAAAAACATTCACTGGGCAGTTTCCTATATAAGCTGTGAGGGGAGAAGGTCCTCCAGTCTTCTCTAAATCCTCATTTTACATAGAAAAATGCATCAGGAAGAAGGGTAATTTGAACACTCTTTCTTGACATAGTTTATGCCTGTGCAGGGAATTTTTTTAGAAGCAATACTCAAATGTATGAACCCCTACCTAGAATCGTGCAGCCATGAAGCCTTGCAACCACATGATTCTCGAGACCATATTAACTGGTCTTCAGTAAGACTTGAACATAGGAAGCTGCCTTAGATGATCCATTTAGACTAATATTGCCTACTCTGACTTGCAGAGGCTCTCCAGGGTCTCAATCAAAGGCCCTTTTCGTAGCCTACCTGTCTGGGCTCTTTCAAACTAAGGATGCTGGAGATCAAACCTGGAACCTTTTGTATGAAAGCATCTGCTCTGCCACAGAGCTATGTTACAGTTTCCAGTTGACTGGTGAAGAAAACCAGCACCCGCTCTTCCTGGGTACAGGTTTATGCGCATAGAGGCAGCCCAAGACCATTTTGCCTGCTTCGACTCACCTGCTTCTGCACATTAGAATTTCCAGCCTATAACGATGGAGCAAAAAGGTTAATAGCAAAGCTTTAATACAGTATTAAAAACTGTTTTGCAATTCCCTGATGGCCAAGTCTCATTTAACCACCTTTAATAGTTCTAGTGCCCCTTGTACCCATGATCAATAGCTTGCATGATCTACTATATATAAGGAGATAGTTGGGAAACTGCAGTTGGAAAACGGTGCCCGTTGTAAAGAGCGGGCAGACTGAGGTTGGAGGGCTGTGCCTCATTTGCCCTAACAGACTAGCCTCTGGAACAAATTAGTCCTTCCTAGCTACACCCTTTTCGTGGATGCACAGTTTGTTTTGGCTGGTTTAAACTCACCAAAACACCTTGGAGACACTGAGGGGGTGCACCCATCCAGGCAGCAGAGAGAGAGGGGGTATTTATGAGAAAACAAGCCCCCCTTGAGCACACTGTGCTTTCTATGTGGACTCTATGATTTGCATTGTTGTTGTTGTTATTTAGCAACTCCAGGCTGTGGGATGTTAGCATCCAAAATGCATATTTTTTTTTTTTTAAATTATTTTTCAGTTTTTCGAAAATTTACTGATATACAAATCACAAACACACAAATTGCATAAATTTCCCATAAGCATATCCCACCCCTTGTGCTTTCATTTTCATTTTTTAAAACTGCATTTTATACATGAATCCACCTTTAAGCTATTCTTTTGTTTCTTTTCGTAATATGTTTACCTGCTGGTTTTATGTTAACCCTGCTAAAGAACTTATTTGGATACAAGAATTTTTCAAATATTCCACAAATTTTCCCCAATCCCCAAATGCACATGTAAAAGGTTAATTTCAAGAGCTGTCAAACTGTGATTTCCTATGACTGAGGTAGTTATTTGCAGTTGGTACAGTTATGGCAGTTAGCTGAACAGTCTTAACAGAGCAGCGGGTATTTTATGTTGTGCTGCTGTTTGCCTCAGAGTTAGTTAGTCTGTAACAGTTTAATATATGTAAGGTGTTTTAACAATTTAAGAAACATCCACCTGCACTGTATATTTAATCTGCAACTGCAAGGACACTTAGTAAAAGTTATTTGTCCTTTAAACTTTGAAAGAGAGTGTATTGCATAGTTTTTATAGGAGGGAAAAGGAGAACTAATTAACAGGTCAAACGACCCAGGGCTGTCTTCCGCAAAGCTCTGCTAAATGGGAACTAGAGTTTAATTCCCACAAAAACAACCTACCAAAAACGAAAAGAAAAAAAAGGACATACAGTGGTACCTCTGGTTACATACGCTTCAGGTTACATACGCTTCAGGTTACAGACTCCGCTAACCCAGAAATAGTACTTTGGGTTAAGAACTTTGCTTCAGGATGAGAACAGAAATAGTGCTCTGGCAGTGCAGCAGCAGCAGCGGGAGGCCCCATTACCTAAAGTGGTGCTTCAGGTTAAGGACAGTTTCAGGTTAAGAACGGACCTCCGGAATGAATTAAGTACTTAACCCGAGGTACCACTGTACATTAAAACCAATGCAAAAAACTACAATGGAGTAAAAGCTAAAAACACATTCATATTATAAAAAGGCAGGAATAGACCATCCCACTTACCGAAGGAAGCCATAGATGATAAAAGGCTGACGGCCTGGAAGAAGAGAAACATTTCTGTTTGGTGGCTAAAGATAGGCAATGATGGTGCCAGCCTTGCCTCCCTGGGGAGAGTGTTCCATAAGCAGGAAGCCACCACTGAGAAGGTCCATTCACATGTCAACACCCTCTGCACCTACCTTGGAGCGGGCACAAGGAGAAGGCCTTGCATGATGAATGCTGGGTCTGTGTTGGCTCATGTGGGCTCCTGAGCTACATAAGGCTTTATAGGTTAAAAGCAGCACTTTGAGCTGAGCCCAGAAATTCCATGGAAGCCAGTGCAGTCATGCCAGAAGTGGTGTTTTATGTTCAGACTATCTTGCGTTGGTCAACAACCCGGCTTCTGAATTCTCAACCAGCAGCAGTTCCAAAAATGCCATCAAGGGCAGCCCCTTGGATATTGCATTGTGGTAATCTAACCCAAAAGATACCAGAGCCTAGACTACAGAAGCTATGCTATCACATCCCCCATCCCCCCTTTTAAATGTACACACAGAAGCCACAGCCTCGAGGTGGAGGCGCCAGTTTGTCAGAAACAAAGCCTGCATACGTCAAGGCTACCTGGCTGTGAGCCAGGCAACACCCTCCCAAGGTGCTCCCCCCTCCCATTGCACACTGACCTTTAATTAATTAAAGGAAAGCATCTAAAACAAATGAAAATAAAAGCTCATTTTGCTGCAAACAACACACTTTTTTTCTAGCTTGGAACTCATAATCTCCCTCCTTCTCTTTTGTCAGGAGAAGAAAGACAAGAAACAGCTAATTTCCAAATCAGGAAGAAGGCGAATATTGTTGGATCCCACTTGGAGAACGCCATTACCCAAATTAATGCTCCTAAAATGGACAAGGAACCTGTCCATTTCTGCTGTTTTCGTAGAGTCTGTCAGCTGTTTTTAGTGTTATATAAGCACACAGGCCATCAGGCTACCTCACTGCTCAGTGAGCAGAGGTGAGGTTCATGATTTCAGGCATTATTATAACATCAAACTGTGTCTCCCTGTATCAGTCGTCATAAACAACTGGGGTTCGTCAGCTCAAATGCTGTTTTGCATTTTGTCGGTAAGAGAGGTGAAATTTATGGTAGCTAGGGGGAGCAGCAGGGCCATCGTGGTGGTGTCCCCGAGGCTGTGAAATAGGAAGTTGCAGCTCTTCAACTGCTTTCAAGAGGGGCTGCAAAGTGTTCCTATGCTGGCTTGTCTTTGGTCTGTCTAGTCAAGAGTTAAACATGGAAGAGTCGGAAGTCAGGGAATCTTCTCTTTCAAATCATAGAATTGTAGAGTTGGAAGCGAGGGTTATCTAGTGCAACCCATTGCAATATAGGAATTTCAACTAGATCATACATGACAGATGGCCATCCAACCTCTGCTTAAAAACCTCCAAGGAAAGAAAGTCCATCACCTCTCATGGGATTCTGTTCCACTGTCAAACAGCTCTTACTGTCAGAAAGTTCTCCCTGATGTTTAGTCAGAATCTCCTTCCTTGTAATTTGAATCCATGGGTTTGGGTCCTAGCCTCTGGTGCAGGAAAAAGCAAGCTGGTTCCATCCTCCATGTGACAGCCCTTTAGATATTTGAAGTTGACTGTCCTCTCAGTCGCTTCTTTACCATGCTAAACATACCCAATGCCCTCAACCATTCCTTGTAAGAGACCCTTTTAAACCTTTGTACAGTAAGCTAATTTTTACACACACACACACACACACACACACACCCTGTATCCCCCCTCCAGGCAAAGAAGAGGCAGGATCAAACGTCAAGGAGGCAAAAACACTTGGGATATGAAGCTGGTGATGGGGGGAGGCCTGAGAAGAGTTATGAGGGCCAGAGAGAGAGAGAGGCCTGGAGGGCCACAATTGGTCCCTAGGCCTGGGTTTTGGGTCATGATGTTACCAAAGGTTGTACATAGCTCTGGAACTGTAAGGAAAGTACACTATAGCTTCTGCCATCAGCCAAGGAAACTAGAGCCACTGGGAGGCTGTACATCTAGAGTTGCCATATTCCGAAAGTGAAAATCTGGATAAAGTTTTTGCCCCTTCCTTCCTTCCTTCCTTCCTTCCTTCCTTCCTTCCTTCCTTCCTTTTGTCAAGGTGGTTGAGCTTGACATTTTTGGGCTTTTCTTGAATTTTAAAAGCATTCAGAATAAAACAAATTGCCCTGCTTGCCATACGTCCAGACTTTCACATTTTGCTGATTCATCAAAAATCCACCCGGACGCCATTTTGCAGCCGATTCCCAGATGTGTTTGGGAAAAGCTGGATGTATGGCAGCCCTAGTATACCCTGTCTCTTAGGATGATCAAAAGGCAAGAAGGAGACCACCCTGGTCCCAGTCACTGACTGGAGAAGGAGCAGCTGTAGGAGGCTTGCATCCCTGCCTGAAGGAACACTCAGCTCCAGCTGCCTGTAGCTCCAGGACTGCAAAAGCCAAGAGAAAGGTCACTCATGATCCAGCTATTGGCTGAAACCACAAGAACCATAAATTGCTATTCAAGCAAGAACACCAGCAAGGGAAGATTAGCCTGGTCTGAACTGTATAAAAATGGCTGCTTAAAGTCCTGAATGGGCTGATCTGTTGGCTTCTCCATTTCCCATTTTCCCAGATGTAAGTTCATCCCTCCATATCTTCATATTTATTTGAGAAGTTTCTCCTCCACAAAAGAAGTACTCATGAAAAATTATCAACAATTTGCCCTATTAGACACACCATTCTAGACACATTTTTGCAAAGCCATTTCCTCTTATACAGTCATACCTCGGGTTGGGAATGTGATCTGTGCGGGAGGCATGTTCGCAACCCGCAGTGTTTGCAGCCTGAAGCGCCACGTCTGCACACGTGCGTGACACGATTAGGCACTACTGTGCATGCACATGACATAATTTTGTGCTTCTGTGCATGCGCGAGCACCGAAACCTGGAAGTAACCCGTTCCAGTACTTCTGGGTTCGGCGCAGTCCGCAGTCCACAACCCGAAAATGTGTAACCCACAGTGTTTGTAACCTGAGGTATGACTGTATCATGTATTTGGGCATGCTGGCTTCACTAATATATGCATTTTATATGCACACTCCACCCCAGTATATGCATTTTTGTACACATTACTGGAGACATACAGCTGAAGAAATGCATTGCGAAATTTGCGGAAGTGCAAAATTCAACGGATGGTTGTATTTCAGTTTACATTTTTTTTGTAACGTCTGAATTACGTAGGTTTCCTCTTTAAATGAGAACTGAACTGAATTTCTCCGCCATTCCTATTTATAACCATCCACTTTTTGTGGCCTCTAATAACTGATCTGCCCTTCTCTGCCTTTCCTCTCTACACGTTTTCCCTTCTATGTCTGTCTTTTTAGCTTAGAAGGCTGGTGGCAACCACCCTCACTTTTTAAATTGATGTGAGTCACTCTGCGAAGCAAAACTGCGTGAAAAGCAGGAGACAAATACAGGAAATAAATTAAGAAAAGAAAAAAAAAGTACTTGTCCAACTTGCAGTGTCCCATGGGACCGGTGAATTGTATCTGTGACATGGTCAAACAACAGAAGGAACTTTAATCCATGTCCCAGAATGCCAAGCCCAGGTCACTACAGAACTCGCTTCTACAGGAGGCAGTCATGTATGTTGCTTTGGATGGCTTTAAAAAAAGATGAAACAAATTTGTGGGGGACAAGGCTGTCAATGGCTACTAGACACAGCAGCTATGCTTTGCTTTAACTGCCAGAGACGTCATCTCTAAATACCAGCTGCTAGAAACCACAGGAGGGGAGAATTACTGTTGTTCTCATATCTCACCTCTGGGATTCCTACAGGTATCTGTTTGGCTGCTGTGAAAACAGGATGCTGGATTAAATGGACCATTAGCCTGATCCAATAGGAGGTTCTTATGCTCACATGGTGCCTTATAAACAGTTTCATACTCCAAACCAGGTAATTGCAAATATTGGCTACATTGCCACTTAAGATGACATTTTGAGTGGCAGTTGAAAATGAGGTTTCTTTACATTTTCTGTTTCCATAGTAATGAAAGTGGAAGCCAAAAAACTCCCTTTCTCCTTCAACTTGCCCAAATGACATCCATGCTTCCTGCGCTTCCTGTTTATATTTATTGCCACCCCATTAACATCCCCCTCCCATTGCATCCTTGCAGCAATTCCCTCCTCAGACCAGCACATTGGCACATTTAACCTTCTGCTATGTCCACATTATGCACTGAGCTACGGCAAATCGTTTACCTGGGCAGTGAACTCTACCGAGCCGCATTCCAAATACAGCGATTTATTTGATACATTTCTGACAAGGGAAGCGACGTAAAAGGTCTCGCTTTTCTGACCGAGGTAAATAGCACATCATAATATAATCAGCAAGCAATACTAAAGAGCAATTCAAGGACTCTGGAGGGAAACATGTTGCCGGCTGATAAATGATTGGACATGACATTCAACATTTCTGATAGGGGATCTGACGGTTAGGCCAGAAAGATGTGTTCACTGAAATGTGGCCTATAGTATGTAGAGCGGATGTGGGGAACATTTTTAAACTTGGGGCCAAATTCTTTCACAGGTAACCTTCTGGGGGCCAAGTGCAATTGGTGGGTGGGTCCAAAGCAAAAGCTGATGGGACAATGAATGTGTAGTAGGCTATATTCCACCCATGCAAAAACCAGAGGTTTCTACACACAGCCACACACCTGTTTGTTCTCTCTCTCTCTCTCTCTCTCTCTCTCTCTCCATTCAGGTAAGCAATAGACATCATCACACTTCAAGGGAATGATCTTCCTGGGTAGATCCACCACATAAATTGAAACCACATCCAAGGCACGTTTAAAGCACACAGCTTCCACCCAAAAAACCTGGGAACTGCAGTTCTCATAGAGCTATGATTCACAGTACCCTTAAAAACTACAGTTCCCAGGATTCTTCAGGGAACATCATGCACTTTAAATGTGTGTTTAAATGTAATGGGGAACATTTTCCAGCCCAAGGGCCACATTCCCTTGTTGGCAACCGTCCAAGAGCCAGCTGTGGGTTTGCTCAAAGTCAAAAGTAGACGAGGCAACTCATTAGTGGGCCAATGCATCCTACCTCCCAAGTGCCCCAGAAAAAAAAATGGGGCATCCTATTTTTTTCATGCAAGATCATGGTGGCCACATGACATGTGATGCTAATTATGTCCCCCGAGAGTTAAATGATAACTACTAATCAGAGGCAGCTACAGGAGAGCTATGAGATTCATAGAATCATAGAATCATAGAGTTGGAAGAGACCACAAGGGCCATCGAGTCCAACCCCCTGCCAAGCGTGAGGGTCAGATGCCTTGTCAATCCCAGCAGGCCTCTTGCCTGCCCACCATTTTCCTAAAGAGAAGAAGCATAGCATGGAAGACTTGTGTATGATCTGAAAGGGCCGCAAAGGGTAAACTTCCCAAAAGGTATCCTGAAGAGTTTGCTAAAACAGCCATAGCAGATACAGATGTTGTTAGTAACTCAGAGAAGGTTTGGGAACTGTTATGTATTGTTATGTTATGTATTGTTATGTATTTTAAGGGACGCGGGTGGCACTGTGGGTAAAACCTCAGTGCCTAGGACTTGCCGATCGTATGGTCGGCGGTTCGAATCCCCACGGCGGGGTGAGCTCCCGTCGTTCGGTCCCAGCTCCTGCCCACCTAGCAGTTCGAAAGCACCCCTAAGTGCAAATAGATAAATAGGTACCGCTTTATAGCGGGAAGGTAAACGGCGTTTCCGTGCGCTGCGCTGGTGCTGGCTCGCCAGAGCAGCTTCGTCACGCTGGCCACGTGACCCGGAAGTGTCTTCGGACAGCGCTGGCTCCCGGCCTCTTAAGCGAGATGAGCACGCAACCCCAGAGTCGGTCACAACTGGCCCGTACGGGCAGGGGTACCTTTACCTTTACCTTTTTATGTATTGGGTTTAACACATTTTAGAATCATAGAATCATAGAATCATAGAGTTGGAAGAGACCACAAGGGCCATCGAGTCCAACCCCCTGCCAAGCAGGAACACCATCAGAGCACTCCTGACATATGGTTGTCAAGCCTCTGCTTAAAGACCTCCAAAGAAGGAGACTCCACCACACTCCTTGGCAGCAAATTCCATTGTCGAACAGCTCTTACTGTCAGGAAGTTCTTCCTAATGTTTAGGTGGAATCTTCTTTCTTGTAGTTTGGATCCATTGCTCCGTGTCCGCTTCTCTGGAGCAGCAGAAAACAACCTTTCTCCCTCCTCTATGTGACATCCTTTTATATATTTGAACATGGCTATCATATCACCCCTTAACCTCCTTTATGTTACAAGGCGCGTTCTAACCAATCGTATAAGCGCTGGTAGATGAACATTCTAATGGCAAGTAAGAGCATGGACTTTCAACTGTCAACTGTCAATGGTCAGTTCATGCTCAGCATTATTACTGTGTTGTCCAGTCAGTTTGGTTCTTGTTTTCCTATGAGTAAGCTGTTGTCACTGACAAATGTTGAATAAACATAGTTGAGGAACTTATACTGCCTTGGGCTTCTGACTTTTTCCGAACATTCAACATTGGCAATGAGGATGGGATTGATGAGTTCCCACTGGCTGCCAGAGGCCCAAAACGGCACTGCAGCACCACCGCTTGCCGCCTCGCAGTAAGCGCGACCTCACTTAGCAAATAGTCCCGGAAACGAGACCGTGCCTGCCGCATCTTCGCAACCACCCACAATCACACAAGCGACTGCTCCAGGTCCGAGGATGGCCACCAGTCATAGTTGGCCACCACCGGACTTCGATATGAGCCATCCTGCAGAATGGCTGCAGTGGCTCCGCCTAATAAGGAGCCACGTCCTACTACAAGGCTTCACTAGGGCAGCAGACAAGGTGGATGTGCTACTGACGGTGCTGGGAAGTTCTGCCATCACTCTACTGGAAGGTCTGATGGCACCCAGGGATATAGAGGCATGCACTTTCGATGAGCTGACACTGGCTATGACAAGACACCTCGCGCCTCAGCCAACTAAGAACCACCGCCACTAAGACTTTGCACACAGAGAGCAACAAGCGCAAGAGTCAGTGAGTGAATACATCACTGCGCTCTGGGCGATTGCGATGTATTGCCAATTCGCTGACATCGAGGAACGACTTCTTGAAAGGTTCATCGGTTGTGTGCGAGACAGCAGTCTCCACTGCAAGCTGCTGGCAAAAGACGACATCACAATGATGGAAGCAATTAGCAATGACACAAAGCTTGCTGGACACACTGGTGAGTGATAATGGGATCGCTTTTACTTTGGTGAAATTCAAAGAATTTGTAACCAAGAATGGAAGCCACCACATTCGTTCCACTGCTTTTCACTGGGCCACTAACGGCCAAGCTGAACACATGGTCCGTAATACCAAAGATGCGCTTAGGCGCATAGTGTATGGAGACTGGACTCTCTGGCTAACGTAGTTCATATTGGCCCAACATATCACCCCAAGTGCAATGACCAGCCGGAGCCCAGCAGAGTTGCTTATGGGGAGGAGGCCAGTGTGGTGTAGTGGTTAAGAGTGGTAGACTCGTAATCTGGGGAACCGGGTTCGCGTCTCTGCTCCTCCACATGCAGCTGCTGGGTGACCTTGGGCTAGTCACACTTCTCTGAAGTCTCTCAGCCCCAATCACCTCACAGAGTGTTTGTTGTGGGGGAGGAAGGGAAAGGAGAATGTTAGCCGCTTTGAGACTCCTTCGGGTAGTGATAAAGCAGGACATCAAATCCAAACTCCTCCTCCTCCTCCTCCACCTCTTCTTCTTCTTCTCACTACCCTCCTTGATCATACGCACCCCGACCAGGCTCTTGAGCAACGGCCATCCACTGTGGTGTGGGGGGCTCCAAGAGGGTTCTCCCCAGGGGACATTGTGTACGTCCGAAACTATGGGCCCGAACAGGGTTGGGTCCTTAGTATCATTGCCTGCTGTACAGGTATGGTTTCCGACGAGGTAGGGTTGGAGGGGGGACTGGTTTGGAAGAGACACCTCGACCAGATCAGAGCCAGGGCACCTCCGAACATGGAATTCAAGTGGAACCAGAGGACAGAGAAATGGGTACTTTGGGAGATTCTGTGCCCAGGCCAGAGTGGGAACCAGACGGGTTGCCAGTGACTGAGTTACCCCAGCAGGGCAACTTCAGGCCGGAATCCTCAGTGGCTCCATCGGCAGTGACCCCTTCAGAGCCGGCCTTGCTGACCTCCCCACTCAGATCGCGGGTACCACAGGAACCTCCTGGGTCACCCGCTTGGGCACAGGAACCGCGACGGTCCCAGCGGGAGCGGAAAAGGCCGGCACACCTTGATGACTATGTTAGTTCCTTATGTTAGGAAGTTGGGGGGAGGAGTGTTATGTATTGGGTTTAACACATTTTATGTTACAAGGCACGTTCTAACCAATCGTATAAGCGCTGGTAGATGAACTTCTAATGGCAAGTAAGCGCATGGACTTTCAACTGTTCTCTCTCTCTCCAGGCCTGCCCAGAGCACAAAAGGTTTACAAAGTTTAGTTATTGCAAAAGTTTTTCAGTGTTAATTTTATGCATTTTTAAAAATCACCATGGTATTTAACAATAATATCTTATGTACTTTAGAGGAGAAATTATGAATTGTAGAATTTTAAATACCCGTCATCATCCTTGGCTTCACTCAATTTTGTTTATAACACTCTTCCATTTTCTTCTAGTTGTGAGGGTGTGGGATGGGGATGGACCTCACAAGTGGAGTAGCCTAGGGCCTCTCTTCAACTAAATCCGGCCCTAGACTAACCCAACAGTGCGTCCTGAAATACACCTGTCCCAGTTTTGGCTATGGAAAAGCTGGATGGTATGATGCATGCTTCCTTTTTACAATTCCAGCAATGCAAAAATCAGAGTCTTTCATAGATGGATGGATGAATAGAGAGATATCCACTCACCTCCATCTCTTCAAACAAACAAGATTCATTCTGGCCAGGGAAAAGCACTTGAAGAGAAAGCAGATCAGGGCCAGTGAGGGGTGGTCTTGTCAGGAGCTCGTCCTACACTCAAGTAGGACCCTGGTAGAGACACATGTCCGACTGGCATGTTCTCTCCCTTCTGGTCATTCATTCGGGAGCTTCAAAAACTTTCTTCAGCCCAAACATCACAGTGACCGATGCCAACAGACACCGGCACACTTAGGGATCCGCAGAGTTTTCACAGTTTGCGTAACAGACCTCAGCAACTCAGCATTTTGGCTAATCTACTGTATTTACATATAAACACACACGGAGCACTGCAACATGGCTCCCTCTCTCTATAGCATCCAGTGGCGTAGCGTGGGGGGTGCAGGGGGGGCCGGCGGCACCGGGTGCAACATCTGGGGGGGGCGCTTGCACTCGCAGCTCTCTCCCCTACTAAAATCCACAGGTTAGGGGGCGCAAATTACTTGCCTTGCCCCGGGTGCTGACAACCCACGCTATGCCACTGATAGCATCAGACAGCAAAGAGCAAGAACAAAGGACAATAGTCCTACTTCATGGAACACTGTAACACAAACATCCTGTCTTCATCACTTCCCACTTTGAGGAGTCAAAACAAGCACCATCATGTGATAGACAAAAATCCCATGACTGCAATCATGGAGCAGGAATTCTAACAGGTCTGAGGGATGGTGTGTGGACTGAGCAGAATCCCACAGGCCAGATGGAAAGGTCTGGAGGGCCACATTCAAAACTCCAGGGTCTGATGTTTCCCACCCCTGCTTGGGAGGTGAAGCAAAAGGCAAGCTTGATACCAGACCCAGGCAGTGTGTAAATCTACCCACCATCCCTCCAGAAGTTCAAAGGCATGCAAAAAAGGGGAAGGAGGAAGCTAAAGTATGTCAGCTGGCAGATGCCTCCCCTCCAGTGATATTGCACAGGGTATGGAAGGGGGAGGGGTTGCTGATGGCGATGATACGCTCTTGCTTTCTCTCTCTTCCTCCAGGCTGGCTGTGTACTCTGCACTGTGATGCTTTTGTTCTCAGACAACTTCCCCATCCGCTTTGCTGCAGGGGTCCGACTGTCTTTCAAGAAACAAAATCCCGGGGTTCTCCCTGAACTTTTGGAAATCTTTCGCTTCTCTTGTCTCCCCACCCTTGTACAGCTAAATGTACCATCTGAGAGAGAGTAGAAAGGCAGGAAGCATGTGGGTGGTTTCATCCTGCTGCTGTGATGATGATCACTGCTAATATTGCCAAGTATAAAGCAGTGTTTGAGCATCGAAAGAGAAAGGGCTGTTGCTCAGAGGTAGAGCACCTGCTTTGTATACAGAAGGTCTCAGGTTTGAGCCCTGCCATCCCCAGGTAGTGCTGGTGGGAGAGTGAGACCCTGTCAACTTACAACACCTCTCCCCATAGATCTGCATGCTTTGATGATTTGTTAGTGGGCCATTTTCAATGTGTTACTATTGATATACAACACTTAACAGCTTGGGAACAGTTTACTTGTGGGATCACCTTTCCCTCATATGTGCTCACTGAACCACTTTGATCTGCAGAACTGGCACTATTGCAGGTACCACTCGTTACTCATTTCACACTTGTAAGATATCATTCTTTTAGTGTGGCAGCACAAACTCCCTGCCTATTGACATCAAGCAGGCGACTTCGCTGTATCCTTTTGGTGCCTTGTTAAATCATTTTTTTTAGGCAAGCCTGTTCAAGTGTGTAGACATTGACATGTTTCCATCTCTTTTTAGTTTACTGCTGATTTCAAATTTTTTATTATTATTTGTTTGTAGCTTCATTTATTAACTTTAATATAGCTTGTATACTGCTTTGATGTTTTGTTGCAATCAAGTGGTGTATATGCATTTTACTTAATAAAATAAATTTATTTTAGACATTAAATAGATATAGATATATATTCTGCCTTTCTACCCCTAAAGCCCACGAGGCAGTGCATGATAGTTTAAAACAATACCAAACAATTATTCTTTAATAAAAAAGCAGCAAAAATAAATAAATAAATAAATAAATAACAGGTCATAAACCACAGATCGTTGAAACCTGCAATGTAATGTTACAGCATGGAATACAGATATTCAGGATTCCTGCAGCCCCATGAGGAGAGGGGAATCCAATTCCAAATAGTTTTGAGGGAGTCTCTGATTTTCAGCCTCCTCCAAGGAAAATTCTAGCTGGATTTGTCAGTGCCTTAAATTTTGTCATGAGGCTGAGCAAATCTCTCTTCACCTGGGATTACCTGTGTAAATTGAATCTGATGGCACCAAACCCAGGAAGCAGCCTTGGTTAACTAACACTTGTGGAAATTGCTTTGAGGTCCCCAGACAGAAGCTTAAACAGAGTGTAGCAACTTACTCTCCGCAATTCAGAGTTATTTGGGGATCGATTTGAAGGTTTCAATGCAGCCAGTCAGGGACAGGGGATGGTTGTCATTGTGTGGACAACATTAGACGTTCCTCAGTGGCTCCCCCCACCCCAGGACTAAAAGAAAAAGTGGAGGATGGTTGTAATTTGGAGCACCTCTGGCATGGATGGTGGCCTGAGCCCTAATTCTTGGGGTCATGTACTCAGCGAGGGTTAGAATCTAACAGAAAGAGTTGCTAAAGCAATCAGAAAAGTTTCTGTGTAAGACAATGATCATAAATAGCCACTTACAGTACAAGTCTTCATCAGCATCCCCAAAGAATGTGCTACAGCTAAGTAATGGTGCCCTCCAGACTAACAGCGGTCCTTTCCCTCACCCCTCACCTAGTTGCTAGGCAGAATGGTATTTAAGAGCTGAGCTGGCAGCAGGCTGGAAGCTCGAGACACTGTGACATGCTTGTTCTGGGCTGGATCCAAAGCTGTGACTAATGGAGAAGCGAGACCTATTGGACTGTTTATGCAGTGAGCCTCTCCATCTTATGCTCGGGTTGTCTATATGGGTAAATAAAGCCATATAAAAAGGTAAAGGGACCCCTGACCATTAGGTCCAGTCGTGACCGACTCTGGGGTTGTGGCGCTCATCTCGCTTTATTGGCCAAGGGAGGCGGCGTACAGCTTCCAGGTCATGTGGCCAGCATGACTAAGGCGCTTCTGGCAAACCAGAGCAGCACACGGAAACGCCATTTACCTTCCCACCGGAGCAGTACCTGTTTATCTACTTGCACTTTGACGTGCTTTTGAACTGCTTGCTTGGCAGGAGCAGGGACCGAGCAACGGGAGCTCACCCCGTCGTGGGGATTCGAACCGCTGACCTTTTGATAGGCAAGTCCTAGGCTCTGTGGTTTAACCCACAGCGCCACCTGCGTCCAAAATAAAGCCATATACAGTAACCTAAAGAGAGCGCCGTCTCTGCTGACGTTCATTCCAAGGAAACCAAACCCTGGGTAAGTGCTGGAACTCTTGAATTCTCTCACTACTCAGAGATCAGGGTGGTGTGTAACGATACATTTATCCTCTTGTACTCGGCGGCACATGGCTGGGGGAGGAGGGTGTGGAAAGCGAGAGCAGGGAAGAAGAGCAAACGTCAATGAGCAAAGGGTGCTCCATTTCCTCTCACCCCCTCCACAAACTGATGCAAAAAGCAGGCATAATTAAACAGCTATTCTTAATAATGCCCTGACAACTGTCCCCGCTTTAATTTGCTTTGGAGTAAAGATTAATATAACAATGCAGTGATACTTTACAAAGGGGAGAAAAGGGAAGCAGAGCTAATAAAATCTGGTGGCTTACATGGTATATTATTGTGTCTTTCTTTCTGCTTGTCTGGCGAATATTTGGCTCCTCTGGGAGCAGTTTTCATATTTATTTGTTCGTTCCTCCAAGCTAGGGCTGACTTGGTGGCACATTGAGAGGGGATTAATGCTGGGGCACAGAGGTGTGCCAGGGACACGAGTCGCATCGGGGGTCTCCATGGTGATTCTCCCATGTGGCGGGAGAGATCCCAATGGCAATAAAGTTAGTAAAGCAATTAAGTATGACGAGCGGCCGGCAGAGGCTGCAGATCAGAGGTGGGTGGAAACTATTTCAAGACTCGAGTCCTGGAGAAGCAAAAAGCACATGAACCGACGAAGCTTTTTCAAGAACCTAAGAAGAGCCCTGCTGGATCTGACCAAAGGTCTACAAAGGCCAGCATCCTTCCCACCCCTCAGTAGCAGACCAGACGCATCTGAGAAACCAACCAGCAGGAAGTAAAGTAGGAGTAGGAAATCATTCTTTTAGCCTGAGGGTCTCATTTCCTTATGGGGAACCATTCAAGGGCCACACAGCAGTAGAGGGCAAAGCCAAGGGCACTGTTTATTTATTTGGTGCATTTACACTCCACCTTTTTCTCAGAAGGAGCTAAAGGTGGTGTGTATGGTTCTTCCCCTCCTCATTTAATCCCCACAACTACCCTGCAAAGTAGGTTAGGCTGATAGGCAGTGAGTGGTCCAAGCTCACCCAATGAGCTTCATGGCTAAATGGAGATCTGATCCCTGGAGCCTCAGGCCCTAGTCCGACACTCTAACCACTGCACCCCACTGGCTCTCAATTACTGAGTTTCAGTAGAAATTTAAATGCATTCCTGTTTACCCAGATACTGGCAATGACAACCTTGAAATTGACAGCTGTGAGAGCATGTGATTGCTTTTAAGTGTTTTTTAGATGCTCTAGATGCTTTTAAATGTCTTAGGTGGTTTTTATTGGTTTCTACAGTTGTAAATGGGCTTTTATGTTGTTTTCTATTGGATTGGGCCTTCATTTCCCCACATTCCTGCATCAGTTTTTTTTTTAAAGTCCTACTGAAAATTCTTCAGAATTTCACTGTGTGTTTTAATTTTTAAAACTAAATATACATATTTCTGTATACCATTTTGGCAGTTATGCACATTTTTGCAAGCAATTTTCCCTAATAGAATGAATTAATTTTATGTATTTTATTTACTTTCTTTATTAGCAGTCAGCATACCATTAGAACATTTTAAATCGGTTTACAATTATGAATGGTGACATTAAAAAAATATACACACTACAGCTAAAAACACAAAATTAAATTAGTAGATATATTTGAATGGATATATCAGGTGGTCATTAGAAGTCCTTGTGGTGACTGCTACATTCAAAAACTTTGCCACTTGCTGTGTGATTAACTTGTTGGGGGTCTAAAACAAAACCAGAAGAAACACAGGGGAGTAACCTGGGAGGGATTGTACAATAGGATATATTAGATCTTTCCTAGCCCTTTGATAAAAATAAAATAGAAAAGGACATGCAATATATAGTCCAACTCAGAATTGTTACAGGCGCAGCATTTGTTATTTTGGGGATTTTGTTATATCTGCTATTTAATAAATTAGAGGGGAGAACACTAAACCATCTAAGAGAGAAAGCCTTCCTATACTTAGGTACATCCTATACTTAGGTTAACCATCCCAAGTATGGCATTTCATCATTACAGGAGGGACATGATATCCTCAGTGACTGGAGGGCGGGGAGAAAGGTCCCTGTGCAGAGCCAATGACCCATCTAGTCCAGCATCTTGTTCTCACAGAGACCAATCAGATGCCTGTGGGAAACCAGCAAGCAGGATTTGAGCACAAGAACAGTTCTCTCCTGTGGTTTCCAGCAACAGGTCTTTAAAGGTAAAGGTAAAGGGACCCCTGACCAGTAGGTCCAGTCGTGGCCGACTCTGGGGTTGCAGCGCTCATCTCACTTTATTGCTGAGGGAGCTGGCGTACAGCTTCCGGGTCGTGTGGCCAGCATGACTAAGCCGCTTCTGGCGAACCAGAGCAGTGCACGGAAACGCCGTTTACCTTCCCGCCGGAGCGGTACCTATTTATCTACTTGCACTTTGATGTGCTTTTGAACTGCTAGGCTGGCAGGAGCAGAGACTGAGCAACAGAAGCTCACCCCGTCGTGGGGATTCGAACCTCCGACCTTCGATCGGTTTAACCCACAGTGCCACCCGCATCCCAACTGGTCTTTAGAAGCATCTTTAGAATTATTATCGCTGCCTCCAACTGTAGGCAGAGCATAGCCATCATAGCTAGTAGCCAACGATAGCTTTATTGTTCAAGAATTTGTTGAATTTTATTTTAAAGGCATCCAAGTTGGTGATCATCACTGTCTCCCATGGGAGCAAGTTCTATAGTTTAACTGTGCACTACATGAAAATGCGCTTTCATTTATCTGCCCTGAATCTTTCAACATTCAGTTTTGTTGGATGTTCATGAGTTCTAGTGTCATGAGAGAGGGAGATAACCTTTTCTCTGTCCACTTTCTACATGCCATGCATAATTTTAGGAACGTCTATTGTGTTGTCTCTTACTTGCCTTTTCTCTAATCTAAAAAGTCTCAAGTGCCACAGCCCTTCCTC